GACATGTTGTCTCATTAACTGATTCCAAGACACATCAGCAGAATTGAGTAGTTATCATAGACCATCTTGCCCATGAAAATATTTGTTAATTGGAGCAGAAGTTTGCTGCTCCTAGACCAACAGCTCAGAAATAGGTACTCTGAACATTATTTACTGAATCATCATCAGCCCTGAGTATTATTTACTTTTGAAGCTTTCTTCTGGTGAGACTTAAAATGTTTAAGTTAAAAAGGGACATTTAAGTATTTGAAAGGGGAAAAAACTATTGAATTTCCTTCAGCTTCAATTCTTGTTGAGAGTGTTGCTTCTTCCATCAGTCATTTAGCTGACATCAGCTGTTTTGACTCTGCTCTCTAGACCCTTTTTGCACAGGTATCCCCAATACGCTGTTTCATCCTTCTAGGTCTGGGTCAGCTAGCGCCTCTCCTAGAATTGTTTCTGAATGGGATGCTGATGGCATTTTTTGTTTGTTTGTTTTGTGTTTTCAAGACAAGGTTTCTCTGTGTGGCCTTGGCTGTCTTAGAACTCACTCTGTAAAACCAGGCTGGCCTCTTAAGTCAGAGATCCCTCTGCCTCCCCAGTGCTAGTTTTAAAGGTGTACACCACCATGCTCAGCACTGATGGTAATATGGATTTCACTTAGTAATGTGTAGCACCACACTGTATGAAAACTTTGATTTTACATTTACTCAGTAATGCTCCCTTCCTTCCTATAATACAGGGGTTTACGATCGCAGTGTTCCTCACTGTTTCTTGGGGCAAAGTCATGGTCATATTGTACTTACGAGCCTGAATGTTTTATTCCTCATTGCTTAGAGTAATGAGCATTGGTTTCCTTCTTCTACTGGACTTTTGTGTCTGATCAGCTTCTGACTGATTCCTGAGTTGCCATTTCCTTTTGCCACCATTTCTCTCTATATATGGTAGCATTTTCAAAATCAAAAATGTCTTGAGAAGTCATCTGTAATAATTCACTTTAGAAATAATTTATCAATTAGGATTTATTGAAAATATCAAGTATGCTACAGTTTCAAAATGGAATTTTAAGTCATAATTACTGAAGGTATCTCCATATTTTCCTAAAGTAATTAAGAATAACAGCAATATTAATTTTATTCCTAAAATAATTAAAATAACAACAATAGCAAACCATTAGATCACCACAAACATCTCCAGGCAAGGTCAATGTCGGAATCAGAGAACACTTGTAGTAGCATTAAAGGTGATGGAACCCCTTTGCAGGGTCAGCAGCTGCTGCTGTTTTCATTCTCTGTAAGAAAAAATTGGTTATTTTATGGTTTCTTTTTTTGGTGTGGGCTGGAGGTAGATGGTTTAGACAAAGACTCACTTTGTCACCCAGACTAGCTTGAAACTCTTCATGCCCTTGCACCAGCCTCCTTAGTACTGGGATGACAGCTGTAGCAGGGCTCCTGCTGTTAGCCCCAAACTCACAGAGACTTGCCATGGCCTGCCTGGTTTCTTTTCTTTGATGAATAAAACATTCTCTTTACCAGTAACTTGTTTTCCTCCCTTTTTAAAAAAACTTTAATTATTTGCTGGCTTTGATTTATTGTCTCATTTAAAAAAAAAAAACATTTTCCAAGTCCTCTTCTCCTACAAATTTAAAATGTTGACCTTTGCTCTAACTTTGGCATCTACTTGGTTCTGTTAGTAAGTTGGCTTCAGGTTTAGTAGTGCTTATACAGTCTCTTGGTGTACTGTGTTGTCTGTTATGTGATCCTGCAGGCTCCCACTGTTTGAGACTGGGGGCAGTTCTTGTACTTGTTAAACACACATGTCTAAGTTACTTTTAATTCTCTTATACATCTCTGGTTGAGCACAGAGTCTTGCTGCTTCATTCCTTCCAGGATTGAGTTTCTGTAGCAAGTTTATTTCTATGGATTGCAATAAAGCCTAATTATATAGGACTTTCAAGTATTTTTGTTACTTATTTTCTAAGTGATTTTATGACTTTTGGAAATCGAGATCTCTCTCTCTCACACACACACGGTATATAGTAAAGTCACTTTTTCTTGGTAATTTTTATTTTTTGACAGAATCTGTTGTGTAGCTCAGGTTGACCTCTATCTAGCTCATTATGCAGCTGATGATGACTTTGAACTTACGATACTCCTCTTTCCACTACCACATCCCTCCACTGCTGGGATCATAGACTTGTATTACCATGCCCAGTTTGTGCAGTGGTGGGAACTGAACCCAGGGCTTTATGTATGCTAGACAAGCATTCCACCAACTAAGCTATGTCCATATGATTGGGTTTTTTTGTGTCCTTGTGAATTTATCTTGTTATAATGTATCAGGTAGTCCTTCCAGCACAGGATTGAATAGTAGTGTTGTTGACATGTATTCTTTTTCCTTGTTGTAGTGGGAATGCTTTGGGCATTTTCATTGTTCACTCCAAGTCTATACTCTTATTTTCAGTGTGGGTAGTTTTATTGTTGATGCTCAGTGATTTTTTTTTTATTGCTGCTTATGGAAATGTCAATACATGATGCAGGTAATTGTAGTTGACATCACAGTGGTCCAAGGTGGGGATAGTGATGAAAACGGAGCTGCTCTCGATTTGGAGGGAAGGTTCACATTTAGGAATGGGTGATGGTTTTGGTTTATTGTGCACATGGAAGAATAAAAGCTAAGGCTTAGGTCTTAGCTAGTGGTTAAGAAGTCTTGCTGCCCTTTTGAGAAGACTAAGCATCTTCCCAACACCCAAATCAGGTTGGCTTACAGCTGCTGCCTGTGACTCCAACTCCAGAGGATCCAGTGCCGTCCCTTCTGACCTTCAGGAACACACACACCCCAGCCACACAAATGCATGACATGTTAAAAAAATAAATTTTTTAAAAATTGGAAAAATACTGCCGGGCGGTGGTGGCGCACGCCTTTAATCCCAGCACTCGGGAGGCAGAGGCAGGCGGATCTCTGTGAGTTCGAGACCAGCCTGGTGTACAAGAGCTAGTTCCAGGACAGGCTCCAAAACCACAGAGAAACCCTGTCTCGAAAAACCAAAAAAAAAAAAAAAAAAAAAAAAAATTGGAAAAATACTTAAGTATTTTTATTAAGTTAAGGGAAATTAGTAAAAAAGTTTTATACTCCACATATTTTCTAGAAGGAGGCATTGTCGAGGCGTAATTGTAGTAGACTTGACACTAGCTGTGATATGTGCTGTCATTTTGTTCTTAATGATGGTCTGGTAGCACAAGCCTTTGATCTCAACATTTCTATAGGTAATGCTGAAAGATTGTTCACAAATTCAAGGCCAACCTGGGCAACACTTAGAGACCCCATCTCAGCATTGGATCAGGAATGAAGCTCAGTGGTAGAACGCTCACCCAACATGAAAAGAGTTCAGTTCCCAGCATTCTTTACCCTCAAATGAAAATAACATAACCTCGTTTCACAGGTTGTTGCTCTCTAGCCGCTATGAAGAATCCAAGCTTGAGTCCTATTGTTGCTGATGTGCTCGTCGCGGAATTTTAGTTACTTTGATTTATGGAGGACTCTAACTTATTTTGTGTCTTAGTTAGGGTTTATGTTGCTGTCATGAAACACCATGACCAAAAAGCAAGTTGGGGAGGAAAGGGTTTATTTGACTTACACTTCCATATCACTGTTCATCATCAAAGGAAGTCAGGACAGGAACTCAAACAAAGCAGGGGCTGATGCAGAGTCCATGGAGGGGTGCTGCTTATTGACTTTGTCTCCATGGCTTGCTCAGCCTGCTTTCTTATAGAACCCAAGACCACCAGCCCAGGGATGACACCACCCACAGTGAGCTAGACCCTCCTGCATCAATCACGAATTAAGAAAATGCCATACAGGCTTGCCTACAGCCTGATCTTATGGAGGCATTTTTTGTTGTCATTCGTTTTTTTTCTTAAGAGTTTTAATCCCAGCACTCAGGCTAGGATTAAAGACCTGCACAACCAGACTTGACTTGGAGGTCTTTTCTTAATTGAGGGTGCCTTCCTCTCGTGTCTTAGCTTATGTCAAGTTGACGTGACACTATCCAGCACATCTCTTGCCTCTCTCATTCAGTTTCTATACGTATTTTAACTGTTGCCCCTTGGTTTCTCTCCTGCAAAGTAAGGACAATACTTGTGCTCTAGAATTGTGCCAAGGACTTGGTGCAGATGTTTGCAGAGCTGCTGCTGTGTAGCAATGAATGCTAGCCATGGGTTGGTGTTGCTGCTGCTGTGTGTTGCAGGATAGAATTATTTCTTCTCAGGGAGACTAGAAGACAAATGAAATTGACTGCTTTTGGCGGTGGGAGAAGGACAAGGTTCTGCATAGTCTACGTTTATCTCTGAGTCACAGAGCTCTGCCTCCTGAGGGTTTGGATTAAAGATGTGACAACACCCAACTTCTGATCGCTTTTTTGATAAAGTATTTCTAAAAGGGAGCAGTAGTCTGTGCTCTTTGCAGTACTTACTTGAATTATGCTCACTGGTTACTTTACAGGTTGATCTCTAGTTGCTTTTCTTGCCATTCTTAATCGCTCTTATTATCTACTTAGCATTTGTGCTTTGAGAGAAAATAGTAGAAGCAGAATCATTTTTCCATGGTAGCAAATCATACTATTAATGTGACTCCTTACTGCCTAGTCCATTTTCTCCCAAGTCAAGTCTCTGAGCGTGGACTGCCTTAATTCATCACTGCCACCTAGTCTTCCTTACTCCAAAATTCTTGGTTTGTTGGAATTTTGCCCATCATACATTTAGTGGGTATCCCTATGGGGCTTTCTGTTCCACACAATACTATATGGTGTCGAACAAAGCAGCACAATTCTGCCTGTGAAATTACTGAACATGGAGAATTGGTGGCTGGAAGATGACTAGTACCTCAGCTGTACTGCGGAGCATCTTGCTAATGTTGAGGAGCTACATGTATTTGTAATGGATCATCATTTTTCTCAGCCTACTTAATATCATTTTGGAAATGGTTTCCACTTTATAAATAGTTGTACTTCTCCTTTATTCTAGATATAAATCATAATACTTCAGGATCCCATTATGAAAATTGCCAGCGGGGACCTGTGTCTTCTACAAGTGACTGTAGCACAAGCTGTAAGAATGCTGTAAAGGACTTGTTGGAAAAAGAAGCATGGCCCTCAGCCCCTGGCAGTGATCCTGAGTTGGCCTCAGAATGTATGGATGCTGATTCTGCCTCCAGTTCTGAGTCAGAGAGAAACATCACTGTCATGGCTTCAGGGAATACAGGTGGTGAAAAAGATGGCCTTCGGAACAGCACTGGACTCGGTTCTCAAAGCAAGTTTGTGGTTGGTAGCAGCAGCAATAATGTGGGTCATGGAAGTAGTTCTGGGCCATGGGGCTTCCCCCATGGAGCCATAATAAGCACATGTCAGGTCTCTGTGGATGCTCCTGAAAGCAAATCAGAAAGTAGTAACAATAGAATGAATGCTTGGGGCACTGTAAGTTCTTCATCAAATGGAGGGTTAAATCCAAGCACTTTGAATTCAGCTAGCAACCATGGTGCCTGGCCAGTATTAGAAAACAATGGACTTGCCCTAAAAGGGCCTGTAGGGAGTGGGAGTTCTGGCATCAATATTCAGTGTAGTACCATAGGCCAGATGCCTAACAATCAGAGTATCAACTCTAAAGTCAGTGGCTCTTCTACCCATGGTACCTGGGGCAACCTTCAGGAAACTTGTGAGCCTGAAGTAAGTGGTACACAGAAGGTTTTATTCAGTGGTCAACCTCAGAATATCACCACTGAAACAACTGGACCAAATAACACTACTAACTTTATGACCTCTAGTTTACCAAACTCCGGTTCAGTACAGAATAATGAACTGCCTACCAGTAATCCAGGGGCCTGGCGTGTGAGCACAATGAATCATCCTCAGATACAGGCTCCGTCAGTTATGAATGGCACTTCCCTTTCTCACCTTAGCAATGGAGAGTCAAAAACTGGAGGCTCCTACGGTACTACATGGGGTGCCTATGGTTCTAATTACTCTGGTGACAAATGTGCAGGCCCTAACGGCCAAGCCAATGGTGACACTGTGAATGCAACGCTAATGCAGCCTGGCGTCAATGGGCCTATGGGCACTAACTTTCAAGTTACCACAAATAAAGGGGGAGGTATGTGGGAGTCTGGGACAACAAATTCCCAGAGTTCACCATGGGGAAGTGGAAATGGTGCGAATTCTGGAGGAAGTCGAAGAGGATGGGGAAGTCCTGCACAGAACACTGGCACTAGTCTACCCAGTGTTGAGTGGAACAAACTGCCTAGCAATCAGCATTCCAATGACAGTGCAAATGGCAATGGTAAGAAGTTTACAAATGGATGGAAATCTACTGAGGAAGAGGATCAGGGTTCCGCCACATCTCAGACAAATGAGCAAAACAGTGTGTGGGCCAAAACAGGAGGCACAGTGGAGAGCGATGGTAGTACAGAGAGCACTGGACGCCTTGAAGAAAAAGTAACGGGGGAAAGTCAGAGTAGAGATAGAAGAAAAATTGATCAGCACACATTACTCCAAAGCATTGTAAACAGAACTGACTTAGATCCACGTGTCCTATCCAACTCTGGTTGGGGACAGACTCCTATTAAGCAGAATACTGCCTGGGATACAGAGACATCACCAAGAGGGGAAAGAAAAACTGACAATGGGACAGAGGCCTGGGGAAGCTCTGCAACACAGACTTTTAACTCAGGGGCATGTATAGATAAGACTAGCCCTAATAGTAATGATACCTCATCTGTATCAGGGTGGGGCGATCCCAAACCTACTCTGAGGTGGGGAGATTCCAAAGGCTCAAACTGCCAGGGGGGGTGGGAAGATGATTCTGCTGCTACAGGAATGGTTAAAAGCAATCAGTGGGGGAATTGCAAAGAAGAGAAGTCTGCATGGAATGATTCGCAAAAGAACAAACAGGGGTGGGGTGATGGACAAAAGTCAAACCAAGGTTGGTCCATTTCTGCCAGTGATAACTGGGGAGAAACTTCCAGGAGTAACCATTGGGGTGAGGCTAATAAGAAATCCAGCTCAGGAGGTAGTGACAGTGACAGGTCCATTTCTGGTTGGAATGAACTTGGTAAAACTAGTTCTTTTACATGGGGAAATAATATAAATCCAAATAATTCATCAGGATGGGATGAATCTTCTAAACCTAATTCTTCCCAGGGATGGGGAGACCCTCCAAAGTGTAATCAGTCTCTAGGTTGGGGAGATTCATCAAAACCAGTTAGTTCTCCAGATTGGAACAAGCAACAAGACATTGTTGGATCATGGGGGATTCCACCAGCCACCGGCAAGCCTCCTGGTACAGGCTGGCTGGGAGGACCTATTCCAGCTCCAACAAAGGAGGAAGAACCCACAGGCTGGGAGGAGCCATCCCCAGAATCTATACGACGTAAAATGGAGATTGACGACGGAACTTCAGCTTGGGGAGATCCGAGCAAATACAACTACAAAAATGTGAACATGTGGAATAAAAACATCCCAGATGGCAGCAGCCGCTCAGACCAGCAAGCACAGATGCATCGTTTGCTGCCATCTGCAAGTGCTGTCTCAAGCAAGGAGGCAAGCAGTGGCTCTGGTAAGCGTTCCTCTTTGGAATACAGTGGTATTCTGGAAGCAAACTTTGTGTTGACATACTGTCTTAAGATTTGTTTAACAGAGCACTTGGATATGCACATCGAGGCCTTTCAGCTGTACTCTAGGAGTCATGTTCACCAGGCAACAACTTGGGCAATGTTGCTGTGAACCTTACATGTTCTGTTCTCCGTTAGGAATGTAGAAGGGGTTAAGTATACTTCTCTCAGTCTGAGTTAAGGCTTAACCAAGTGACTGAGTACAGTACTATAGGTATTTGGTATTAGACTTTAGAGGAATTTTCTAAACTAGGCCTCTAAATTTTAAATTAAAAAGTCCACATCCACTCTGATAACAGGGGATATAGTGTGTGCATCTAAAACATTGCACTGTATCTTTCTAGTATATTCCCACTTTTCCTCTCCTATACTGAGCAAATTCTTTTCTGTATAAATTGATATAGCAACATTTTCTTTAAATGTGACAGGGTCTGTATTTCCTTTTTTAATGGGGATTTTGTTGCGTGATGTTTCATTGGAAGAGAGATGGCAATATTTTCATGAATTCTTTTGATACTTAATTGTGGTTTGTTTGCTTGTTTTTAAATATGAGTCTAGTCTGATAATTTATGTTTAACTCTTAGGGCAGGCATCTTTGTTTTCATTCTTTAAATGAAAATTTTGTGGCCTTTTTTTGGTCTTAGACAACTTCCAACGTGATAGTGTAAACTTTTTTTCCTGTGTACTTTTAAATCAACGTTAACCAGTATGTATAAAGTGCATTGCTCACCTAGTGTAGTCGTGTAGTTAGTTGTTGTCTATTGCAGTATTGGGGGAAGGGCATCCCTCCCATAGGTGTGGCTGGTATAGCCCTTCCCACCACACCTGCTGCCTCAGATCACAAGCTTCTGTTCAGTTAGGAACTAACTTCATCCTCAAAGGAACAGGATTTCCTATAATTATTCAAAAGAATCTGCCCTAGCATCAGAAGGCAGTTTTGAAAGAAAAGGTTAAAACATTATACAGTTAAATTATATTAGTGCAGAATAATTTATGTTCTTTATATAAAGTGTGCCTCATCTCGTCGCAGTGTCATTGTTTGGTGTGTGACTGTGAAGTTCTTCGTCTTGTTTTCCAAGTATTTCCTTGTCCTTTATTTGTTATGCTTCCTTATATGCGTGTTGATGACTTCTTTTCCCATACTTTCTAAAGGCTGGGGTGAGCCCTGGGGGGAGCCTTCTACTCCAGCCACGACTGTGGATAATGGAACTTCAGCCTGGGGTAAGCCCATAGACAGTGGTCCCAGCTGGGGAGAACCCATTACTGCGACATCCAGCACATCCACGTGGGGCTCCACCTCTGTTGGTCCACAATCATTAAGCAAATCTGGTAAGTTATTTTTGATCTTTAGTAGCCATTTTGTAGTGGTACTGATGAACTCATTAACTATATTTAAATAATAGGCTAGTGCTTCTAAATTGTCACTGATGTAGCTTTATGATGTGGTGTATTCTATATGATGTTCAATACATTTTTCTCAAAACTGTAACTACTAATGACTTATATATCCTCCACCTAATCTAATTTCTTTCTTATCTCATTCAATTATTTAAAACTGACTTAGCTTTCATGCCATTCAACCTGAAAGACTAAATATATATATTTATAATATGTAGTTATTCATATATTATAAATAAATTATAAAATACATTTTATAATTTGTATAAATATTGATGATTTATTTATACAGTATAACAAATGTCCAAGCCATTAAATCTTAACTGAGAAGGACCCTGAGATACAGATGAGTGAATGTTGTTTTTTACCATGTTAGGGTTAGGATACCTTGTAGGAGCCTCAAGAGCTGTGTGTGTGGAGATTAATTGCTTACTACCTGCGACTTCAATACTCTTTGACCAGTCCTGTAGAAGCATATAAAACTAATTCTTTTGAGCCTCATCCATCCTCTATCCTTTGTGTCATTTTAAAGATCAAGAAGCTGCCATTGCCTGTGTCTAGTTACTCTCTGATTTGCCAGGTGGTGATGGTAACACACCTTTAGGCCTAGCATTCAGGAGGCAGAGGCAGGAGGATATCTGTGAGTTTGAGGCCAGCCTGGTCTACAGAGCAAGTTCCAGGACAGGTTCCAAAGCTACACAAAGAACCCTGTCTCAAAAACCGAAAAGGGGGGAAAAAAAGAAAGAAAGAAACCCTCTGATTTATGAAAACATGGGAAATTTCATTTGATGTTTTTTTCTAGTGAACTTTCAATGCAAAATAAACGTATGTTTTCTATTGCATGTATTTGAGAAGGTGTGTTTAGCTCCAATGTGCTAAATCTGCACTGTGATATATGTTTGCCCTCTTGGAAGAATTGTTTCATTAAAGTCTGTCTTTGTATCACAAATCTACAATTCAGGGCCCAAATCTATGCAAGATGGCTGGTGTGGTGATGATATGCCATTACCTGGAAGTCGCCCCACTGGCTGGGAAGAGGAGGAAGATGTAGAGATTGGGATGTGGAACAGTAACTCATCTCAAGAGCTTAACTCATCTTTAAATTGGCCACCATATACCAAGAAAATGTCATCAAAGGTAAACATTTCAAGACCTTTGCTCTTGAAACTTTAAATCTGAAAGGTAGTTTACTCACAGAAAATTAATCTATTCTGCCCATTTATGGCAGTCAGTACAGTCCAGGCAACCCCCAACTTAGGCATAGCCTCTTGAATGGGCAGCTACCTAGAAAAACATAAGACCACAGGAACTTCCTTTCTCCCCACTGCTACAGCTTGGGATTTCTCTCCTCCTCAACTCCACCAGTACTGCTTGGGGCAACCCCAGCCCCAGCCCCAGCCCTAGGTGGTCCAGCAGTGGTGAGGATGAAGAGAAGGGCAAATCTCCATGTTGACTCTCCATCTCCTGCCAGTTCATCTCCATCTTCATTTTACCTCCTCACTCAGAGTCCCAATTTTCCCCTTACCCAAAATCACCATTCTCTTTATTCACTGATCATCATTGTCCCTTCCTCATCCCTAAGGTCCTGTGATGAAAATCCCTAGGAAGGGCCCCGGTTCCAGGTTGTGTTCCCATACCTGGCTTTACATGAGAAATGGATTGTATTTGTTCAACACATAGTCTTTTATATTCCAAGGTCTTCTGAAGTTTTGGAAATTGCACCAGTTTGCCAAATATGTCTAATGTAGAACCAGGTTTAGGAACTATTGTGTCCTGGGGAGTAGTGTTGGGGGTTGGGGGGGCTGGAGGCAGAGTCTCCTGGGACATCTTTCAAAATAGGTACCCAGTCTCACAAGTGACTCTGAAATGTCCTCATCACCCTTTTTGAGAATGATTGTCTTTGAGGACCTTGATAAGTCATATATTTAGTGTATACCTGGCCTAGCTCAAGGCCAAGGTTATTCCCTTTTAATCCTGGGATTCAAAGTCTAGGACCTGCCATTTTCATTTTATAATTTTTTTCATTTGGCTGGATTTGCCTATTGATGCCTGGCCATGTAGCTTATGATGTGCTTTTACATGTTTTACATAAATCATTGATTCTCATAACCTTCTGAGATAGGACACTGAGGAGGAAGTTGAGACTGGAAAAGGTGGTGACTTGCCCAAAGTTGCATAACTAGTAAGTGACAAAGCAAGGACTTAAGTTTAGGTCTTGAGATTCAAAACCTTGTTCTTCCCACTGGACCATGCTGTTTTGTGACTTTGTCTTTCCTTACAGGGTCTGAGTGGCAAAAAAAGGAGAAGGGAAAGGGTGTGTAGCCTTTTTACTCTTTCTCCTTTGTCTCTACTAGTAAAATCTTTAGACAGCAACTGCAAACTCTTATTTAGCTTCTGCTGTGTGCCAGGTACTGTGCTTGGTGCTGGGGTTCCCATACACTGAAGAGCGGCCCCTTCAGGGGATCCTAGTCTCTGGCGGGGCATCAGGCGAGCTTCATGGGCTATCGAGCTCCACACAAATGTGTGCTGGGATGTGAAAGGTGCCTGGGGTGGCCTGATAGAACTGAAAAGTCAATGTCTAAAAAGAAGTGACAAAGAAAGCTGGCTCTGTAGTTAGATGAAGGAAAGAGAAAGTGTTATCATTCCAAATACTTGAGCTTCGTTATTTACTAAGTATGGAGCCAGTGAAATTTAGTAGAAAGCAACTTCTGTGGCTTTTTAAAAACTTAAAGAGAACTGTCTAACATTAGTGTGTAAGACCAGCTGGAGTAGAGGAAGGACCATAGGTAGGGATCTCAGGAGGCTACTACAGCATCCCAGGTGGCAAGGAGAAACAGTTAGAAATGCATTTAATAATGGAAGGGGCAGAGATTGACAATTGTTCAGACCATGGGAGGCAGTGGAAGGGGGAACAGGAACCAGAGATGCCTTCAGAATCTTTGGAAAGGGTTAGGTGCTTGCTTTAGAGCTCTGCCTTTGTGGGGAGTTAAGAAGCTGTGCTCTGTTTCACAGTCAGAAGGAACAGGTAGTAGCATTGGGAAAGAGACATTCATACCCAGAAGGTCCTTTGGTCATCACATCAATGTGAGGCCTAGATCTCTGGCTTCCAGCTTACCTCTGTGACAGCTGCCATTTATAGCCCTTTGGTTCTCTATGTAATTATCTGTACTGTGTAGCCCACCAAAGCAGCTCAGATGCTGCTCAGGATATTGTGTTCTTAGCAACACAAATTGAAAATTTTAAAGACATTATGATATATAAATACTTAGCAGGTACTTGGTGGGGGTCTTTGGTTTTTCAGCAGAGTGCTCATATTATGATTAAGTTGTAGATTAAATTGTTACGACTAATTTGAGAACCTATTTATTGTTTTTTACTTTGGTATGAGAATTCTAAAAGTCCAAATAATGATATATGTCAGAGAGCACGGTCCATTTTAAAGTCTTCCATTACACAGAGGCCCGTTTTTCTCTTCACGGGTCAGTAAGGCCCTTTGCTTTTGTCTTTTCCTTCTGACTGCCTGCCTTTAGAGATTTCTCTATACATTACAGCTATACCAGAGGACTGGAGCAAAGGAAGTTGAAAACCAAATGAGTTTATTTATTTAATTGCTAACAACTCTGGTAAGAGTTGATTGAAGGAGAAAATATTGGCTAAAAATGAGAGTTGGGAATTGTCTTGAAGTTTGATTAGTCCATCAGTATGTCCAGATAATTAGAGATGGCCATGGCATCTTCTCTACTCTTTTATTTTACAAAGGGAATGATGAAAGGTGGAAACAAACAAGAAGACGCATGGATAAATCCATTTGTTAAACAGTTTTCAAATATCAGTTTTTCGGTAAGTATGTTTTCTTAGCAGCCTCAACCTCTTTAGTGGTGGTTCATAATTTATCCCAGTTTTATTTTTTTATTTTCTTCACAATTATTCCTCATTGTTAAGTCTTTAAAATATGAGCAGAGTTAAGAGTAAAATTAGCCAGTCCTTAATTCTTAAATTTTATAATTTTCTGCACATTAAAAATATACTAAACCATAATAAATAAATAAAAACATAGGACTGGAGGGGCAGTTCCATGTTGAAGAGCACTTGCTGCTCTCCAGAGGGCCAGAGGTCTGTTCCCACCTTTTACTTGGGGGTGGTTAACAGCTACTTCCACTCTAGCTCCAGGGCATCTGAAACTATTCTGGCTTCTGCAGGCTATTCCAGACGTGTGCCAAGCATACATAAATGCAGACAAATTTAAAAAAGAAAAAAAAAAGTATGATCTGCTTGTAGTTCAGATGATGAAACACAGGGAAGTTCTTCACTCCTTGTTTTCTTTGGTAAAGTCTGCTAACACATTGCTTTTTCCAACTTCAGAGAGACTCACCAGAAGAAAATGTACAGAGCAATAAGATGGATCTTTCTGGAGGTGAGAGAAAATTAAATCATTCTGAGTTGGTATTTATCATTGACAAGCCTAGCTGAGTTATGATCTTGCAGAAAGTACCCTCACCCAGTGCAGGAGAGCAGCCCTGGCTGCTCACCACAGATTTGTTGTTGCTGCACTGTGTGAGCACATGTGAGTAAAGTAGGTTTCGCTGTTCCTTTAAGGGACACATCACTGTGCTCAGGTAGTGCTAGTGTCTGTCAGGCTCTGCTGTCCCAAAGTTCCATCAAGAGTAGGGTTATTCAGCTGAAAGGTTTAGTCATCTGGATCAGAGGACGGTGTATAAAAAGACTTAGATAAATGACAGATACATCCTAAACCATAGTCAGAAATGCCAGCCAGGCCATGACTGAGACAATCAATCTAAACGTGGTGGTTTTAGGAAGGGAGGGCTGGGTAGTTGGTGCAGCCTGACTGGGGGAAGGTGCTGCATAATTAGATCAGGCTAAATCAAGAGTTGGCTATTTTTACTTCATTCTGAAAATAGGGGGTTAAAAAGGTTTGTTGTTGGGCTGGAGAGATGGCTCAGTGCTTAAGAGCATTGCCTGCTCTTCCAGAGGTCCTGAGTTCAATTCCTGGCAACCACATGGTGGCTCACAACCATCTGTAATGAGATCTGGTGCCCTTTCTGGTGTGCCGGCATACACACAGACAGAATATTGCATACATAATAAATAAATAAATATTTATTAAAAAAGTTCAGATTAAAAAAAATGTTTGTTTTGGGTTTTTTTGCAAATGTGTATTATTATAGTATTTTCATAAATATCTATGATTTCCTGTTGCTTCTGCTCTTCCCCCCCCCCACTGGTCCTTTCCCCAAATAGTCCCTCTCTGCTCCCCCCCACACACACACACTGAGAAAGACAATGGAATGCCTAGATTAATTCAGTGGAGACTAGGATTAGGCTTAAGAGAAGTTGATAATTATTATAAACAGTTGGCTCTGGGAGGCGTAGGAGATTTTGTGATTTCCACTTTGCCCTTACAGCTTACTAAATGGTAGTATAATCAGAGCGGAAGAAAGACAGGGGGCGTGGGGGGTGGCAATAAATGGAGAAGGAAAGATGAGCATAAATTACAAATTATCAACTGACAAGGAGTTAGAGTAGCAATGGGTTTGCCTGTAAAAAAAAAAAAAAGGCAAAGAGACTGAGATGGTACCCAGAAGAGCACCCATACCTTAAATAGAGCTCTTGGCTTTGTGCTAGCCAGTTGTGTTGTTGTGGTTACCACCCCAGTGTGATTGCATGATCCTCCCTCAGAGGAAGGGAAGGACCACTCTCAGGAAAATGTTAAGCTAGAAGCACTGCACTGCTGTGCAGAGCCAGGTGGCAGCTGGCAGCTTCTGCTGAGGTGAGCCCTGGGGGCCTGGGCTGCAGAAAGTGAAAGCATACTAGAACTGGGGGCCAGCCCTTTCTTGGAGTGTCTTTCCTGCACTCTTCACTTGCTTGGCTGCCAGCCAGCAAAGAGAACAATCATATAAAGAGCAATAGTACATTTCCCCCTTACAGTGAGAACAAACCCAAAATACTGATTATAGGAGGTGGGTACTGAGAGGACACCTCCCCTTCCATAGACATTCTGCTGTGCGTGCTTGAACTTGAGCACAGTGGTGAGACAACTCCATTGTCATCCCATACTCATTGTCCAACAGCTTGCTTTCTTGTGAGAAAGACAGGGTGCGCAATCCCCCAGAGCCATGTGCCACTGAGGAAATGACCCTCAAGCCAGTTTCTTCCTAAATACTACATTAGAGTTAACTTTCAGTAACTTTTGAATAAAGCATAATGGGAAAGAGAAAGGAAATGATTAGCCCATACAAATGTTCACACATTTCACAACTAATTGAAAACATGAGACACACTGTAGGTGGTTTCAAGTGGGACGAGAAGCATTTCAAATGTTGAAATTTTGTACTTGAGAATATTTCTGCAGCTGAACATCTGTAATCCAAAACCTATACTTTGGGCAATATTCAAGGTGGGGCTGCTAAGCCTGTGCCTCATTTTTATGTAGTTGCTCATAGCTCATCCTTTATTTTGGTGGTTCCTTCTTATATTTCTTACCCCTTCCTTACCAATTCTTAGCTGAGTTAACTAGTGGGCTCCTTCAAACTTATCTCCCAGTGGTTTCCATCCTCAAAAGTACTGCCTGTTTTTACTGTTGTAAGTATTCATGACCCTTTAGTAAGCAGAGAAGTACTAAGAAGCAATTCATAGACTCCCTGGGTTCCAGAATATCTCGACTGCCTTCACTCAGTGTCAGAACACTGTTGTCCACTCCATAATTCAAAGCTGTTTGCTCCAGCCCATAGACTGTTCCTGTACCTGCCTGCTTGCTTACATCATTTGGGGGGCAGACTCTCCAGGTGCCTGGCTTTCTTGTACATTTCATTGGAACCAGATTTGTCTTGTTGGAGGCTTTGTCCAGGACCAAGATCTAAAGAGCAGAAGCAGGAGTTTTGGAAGTGGTGTGGGTGTCACTGAAAGACCCACTACCTCAGACCTGTGGTTTCTGGCATATTGAGGCCCACTGACCATGTCCTGGAGAACAGAATTTATACTCTGAGGATGTTGCCTCCCAACTGGCATTATCACTGAAATCTTCAATAAGCTTTTCTACCCAGTTGGCTAACAACTTTCAGGTGATGCCCTGTGTGGTAATAACAGGTAACTCCACATCCTGAGCCTGTACCACACTTCTTTTGCTGTGAAGGAACTGATGGCCTGACACGGTACTGTGAGGTACCAAGACAGTGAAGAAGGCATTCTCTGAGACTGGATAGCAGAAGCTTTGAAGACAAGAACAGCTCATATGCAGAAGCTATGTCTATCCCCATGAAGGCAAATCTGCCACCACCATGGCTTGCCAAAAGGCAGAAAAATTATGATGTAGTTGTGGAACTTGCTGGGTAATACTACAGATAACATAGGTAGCACACCAAATACTGTTTCAGTGCTGTTTAAAGGTATGTGAAGAGCTGACCACAGTGTTTGCCAACCAACAAGGCATGAAGAAGCTAGCAGTGCTCTGGACCCCTGGGTCATGCTTTTCACTCCTCACTGACCTAGAAGCATCGTCTGGCAAAGCCCCAGTGCTGACTGGCAAAGAAACGGATAAATAGATCTAGATGTGTTTTTATAGAGTAGTCAAACAAAGTGAATTTGGAATGAAAGGACATATCAGCAGCTGGCCAATACTAACAGTTCTCTAACAAACAGGTTTGATAGGTGTCTTCCTTGAGTGAGAATAGGTACTGGTGTCTCTCGTTTGCGAGGGAGAATTGAAGAGGGGTATTACTTGGGATTATTGATGATCGGGATGGTTTTTCAGGTACCAAAAGGTAGACTATTAAGATACTTGGTGTATCTTAAGAAATTAATGGGGCTGGAGAGATGGCTCAGAGGTTAAGAACACTGACTGCTTTTCCAGAAGTCCTGAGTTCAATTCCCAGCAACCACATGGTGGCTCACAGCCATCTATAATGAGATATGGTGCCCTCTTCTGGCATGCAAGCATACATGGAAGGAATGTTGTATACATAATAAATAAATAAATAAATCGTTAAAAGAAAGAAATTAATGGCATTTTAAAAGGTGTTCTGTTTAAAGAAATTATTCCTTTTAAAGACTTTTTTACTTACTTGGAATAAGGGTGTTTTTTTTTTAAAGCCAAAAGGCATAGAAAGTTATTTTATTTGAATATTCTTAATCAGATTATTACTAATTTATTTATATTATGAAATAAAGCTAATACATAGTAAACTCATCATTGTTCAATAACATATTATTTAATAATCATTATTATTTATATCTTTAAAGATTTGTAAATTATAATCTAATTAGTACTGGGTTATTATATTAGAGTATTACTCAGCAGTAATAAGGGTGTTTTGATGCTGATAGACATCTCAACATTTGCAAAGAATCACTGGGTGAGATTCTAGGATTGAGGAACCTGTGTAGAACTAAGAGACGAAATCTTTGTGAAGAGATATGAGGTAGATCTGCTAAGTTAGCATTCAGAATACAGGCTTTTGTATTTGGAGGGTCACTTGAATGGGGACAGTGACATTGAAACCCCAGTAGTGAGTGAATGTTAGAGACACGTTCGAGTGCTCTCCACAGTGAGTACTGAGTAAACCCAGGTGTATATCCAAGGAAAAAGAGGTGATGCGTACTTGTGGAGAGGAAAAGAAAAGCCAGCCTTGCCAGTGGAATGATTAGGATAAACCACTGTTGAGTTCTCTGGGGTTTGTTGACTTAGGTAGGTAAATTAGAGGTAGGTAGGTAAATTAGAGGTTGGCAGTGTCCAGCAAAGATAAGGTCAGTCGGTCTTATGGCAGAGCAATCAGAACAAGAAGGGTAATAGGCAGAGAATATCTTGGGTTTTTTTTTATTTTGTTTTGAGAGAGTCTTACTATTATAGCTCTGGCTGTACTAGAACTCACTCTGTAAGCCAGACTGGCCTTGAACTCAGAGATCCGTCCACCTGCCTCTGTCTCCAGAATGCTGGAATTAAAGGTGTGCACCACCATGCCTAATCAGACAATATCTGATATCTTATAGAAGTGAAGACATTGCCCTTTCTGGTCTCTGGCTTCCCCGACTGCTTACTAGGGGCAATATATCAAGTTACAAACATATAATTAGTAAGACTGAAACATTTAAGTCCCATTTGACCCATAATAAGTATTCACTAGATGGTGGTTTATCAAAGTGGGAGGGATGTTTGTTATTGTTATCTTGTTACTTGCTAATGGAAATCATTTTTTTTTTTTATAAAAGCAAGCAGATTCAGGGTGGGAAAATGCTCAGTTGGTAAAGTTTTTGCTTCACAAACATGAAGACTTGTTCATTCCTCAGAACCCACAAAAGATACCAGGCATGCTGGCATGCACTTGTATCCCGCAACTGGAGAGGCAGGCACAGGAGGATTCCTGGAGCTGCCTAGCTAGCCAGTTTATCCTAACTGGTGAGGCCAAAGAAAGACCACATATACATAAAATACTAAGTGGATAAGAGATGATGTAAGATTTCTTAGGTTGCTTAAGAAGTCTGTAAAATGAGATTGTTAACTGCTTTCTGCTTACCAGTCCCTTTTCAAGTTAGTTGGTTCATAAAATAGTACTCTGTGTTTGAAATATGTTATGTATAACATACAGAATTTATGCAATAGAAATGTAGTTTGCTTTTGTTTTGTTTTTTTGAGACAGGGTTTCGCTGTAGTTTTAGAGCCTGTCCTGGAACTAGCTCTTGTAGACCAGGCTGGCCTCGAACTCACAGAGATCCGCCTGCCTCTGCCTCCCGAGTGCTGGGATTAAAGGCGTGTGCCACCACCGCCTGGCCTAGAAATGTAGTTTTTAACATGTGTTTATTGAAGCAGAAATTGTTTTATTTTGGAAATTGAGCATTTTGCTTTCTACGTAAATTTTTCTAAATGAAACAAATTGATTCTCTTCCTGCTGATAATAGTTTATTGCATTTATTAGGAATGTTACAAGACAAGCGAATGGAGATAGATAAACATAGCCTAAATATTGGTGATTACAATCGAACGGTCGGGAAAGGTCCTGGCTCTCGGCCTCAGATTTCCAAAGAGTCTTCCATGGAGCGCAATCCTTATTTTGATAAGGTACAATTTTTCTTCCTTCCTTCCTTCCTTCCTTCCTTCCTTTTTATTTCTTTCCTTCTTTCCCTCTTTCCTTTTTAAAATCTCCAAGACTAATCAGCCATACCTTTAATAGCATAATATTTTAGGAAAAAAAAATGTATGTAATATAAAATAAATATAAGCAAGTGCCTTTCCTATTGATGGGTTTTTGGTTTATTGTTTCATTTATATATATCAGTTTAGCATAGAGGTTATGTGTATATTTTCTTCTTAATCCCTTGAAATATGTGTTTGGCTCTTTTTATGTGCTCTAGAATTAACACTAATTTGATCTCTTCTGTTTTCTGCCTGTTTCCTGTTGGTGCTGGAATGTCATGTGACTTCTCCTCTGTTCCTGCAATGATTTCTCCCTTCTACTTGTTTGCTTGGCTGGTGTTACACATCTTTCTGTCTGTCCAATCAGGATGGCATTGTAGCAGATGAATCCCAAAACATGCAGTTTATGTCCAGTCAAAGCATGAAGCTTCCCCCTTCAAATAGTGCACTACCTAACCAGGCCCTTGGCTCCATAGCAGGGCTGGGTACGCAAAACTTGAATTCTGTTAGACAGGTAAGTCCAGATGTGCATTGTAGGCTTTCTCTTGAATGATCTGTCTTAGTAGTAATGTCTCTCTTGTGTATGTAGTTGCTGTGTTTAAACAGTAGTATCATATAGTAATGAGTGATTCCCTGAAGAATCACTTTGTTATTCTGTTGGTTGTTTTCTAGAATGGCAATCCCAGTATGTTTGGTGTTGGAAACACAGCAGCACAACCCCGGGGCATGCAGCAGCCTCCAGCACAACCTCTCAGTTCATCTCAGCCTAATCTCCGTGCTCAAGTGCCTCCTCCATTACTCTCCCCTCAGGTAAACAAGCTCTTCTCCTCTTTTCTGGGGAAGAACCTTGAATAAGTTTGTGTTTAAAGGCTGAAGTGATGGCTGTTCTTCTAGAGGACCCATTTTGAGTCCTACCCACATGGCAGCTCCCAGCTGTCTGTAACACTATTCCTGGGGAATCTGATGTCGTCTTATGGCCTCTTTGGGCATCATGCAGGCATATGATTCACTGAATACATGCATGCAAAACATTTATACAAATGAATTAAAATTTATGTTTGAGATGACCAGTGGACATCATAATAATTACTGACATCTTGGGATACTGCAAGTACCATTTGGCTGTTGCTGCAAAAGTGTGAGAGAAGGATTAAAGAATGGTTATTTAAATCTAAAATGTACACTATTTTCTTTTTCTCTTTTTTTTCCTGTAAAACCTCTTCAGGAGGACAACAGCAAAGTCAAATAGGATGGTTAGGATTTATCTTCGTCATTTTGACCTACTCTAAAAGAGTGTGTGTGGAATTGTTTCTTAGTTAAGAAAAATACACTTTGAGTGACTGTCACATCTCATAAAGGAGCTCACTGCTTTTAACTGCCTAATTGATAATTAAATTGCATAGTATGCTTAGCTAGTCTGAGATATTGCAACATTACTAACTTAACCATTGTGATCTCAAGGTTCCAGTTTCATTGCTGAAGTATGCACCAAACAACGGTGGCCTGAACCCGCTATTTGGCCCTCAACAGGTAGCCATGCTGAACCAGCTATCCCAACTAAACCAGCTTTCTCAGATCTCCCAGTTACAGGTAAGTATTTATTATCTGCTTGGTATGCAGCGGGGGTTCTGCAGCAAGCACTGCAGTAAACAGAGGCATTGCGTCCATAGCCTGCATAGAGCTGACAGCCTGTCAGAAAAGATGAAGAGTGAGCCTGCGTGGAAGGAAGTTCAAGATGTTATTCAGGGGAGATCCAGCAAGGGACTATAGAAAGGGAAGCATGATTAGGAAAAAAAAAAGCCTGTTAAAGTAAAGCTGGGGGGTGTTTCATTGGTAGAGGTTAACATGCAAAGCCCTTGGTTCTATCCATAGCATTGCAAAAGATAGATTGAACCAAAGACAGGGTTTTTGCAGAATTTCTGGAAACTAGATTGATATTCCAAGGAAGAGGTTTTTACTATGTGAGGCAGGACCTGTGTATGTAGTATAGTCCTATAGGTTCACTGACCGTAGTTACCCTTAACCATTCTAATCTGCAACAGCTCAACAGTGAGAACCCTTTTCCATCTTCTTTCAGCGATTGTTAGCGCAGCAGCAGAGGGTGCAGAATCAGAGAAGCGTGCCTTCTGCTAACCGACAGCAGCAAGACCAGCAGGTAGAAAAGCCCTCTCCACTGGTTAATGAAAGAATTTTATTAAAATTTAATGAAGTGTGCATTTTTAGTCTGCTGTTTGTCCAGAAGTTATAGTAACTATAGAACTTTGATTGGTGTCCTTCCTCCTGGAAGGAGGTGAGTTCAGAAATAAAGAGTGTGTACTTGTGAAGATTCACGCTCATAATTTTCCTGCCTATTTTGCTGTTTGAAGGGTCGACCTCTTAGTGTACAGCAGCAGATGATGCAACAGTCTCGTCAACTTGATCCAAGCCTGCTGGTGAAGCAGCAGACTCCGCCTTCTCAGCAGCCGCTCCATCAGCCAGCCATGAAGTCCTTCCTTGACAATGTCATGCCCCACACTACACCCGAGCTGCAGAAAGGGCCATCGCCAGTAAATGCTTTCAGCAACTTTCCTATAGGTGAGTTCCTGTTTGGCCACTACCCAGGTTACCTCCACTGCCTTTGCAGCACTATTCTTCAGCACAGCGCTGGCCTTAGAGATGCTACTTATTGGGGAGTAACTTGTACGATCTCCTAGATTAAGCTCATCTTCATGCTTCGGGGATGGAGTCTGTGTGTTCACAAAAACCACAGTATTTTAGAAAGTTGTTCTAATGAGAAAAGGATAGACTAGAGGACACATTTGTTTTCAGATTCAGACTGGGATGTGCAGGGACAGAAAGTCTGACGACAGTGTTACTAGGAAGAGAAATGATAAGCAGGTGCTGCTTATGGGAGGTACTGGGAATAAGCCCATTACGTTTGTATTGAATTAAGAAAATAGGTATGAGAAAGACTTGCCTCTTGTTTTCTCCTAGATCACCAGTCTTTTATTCACTGAGGAAATTCAATGCTTGCATGTTTTCTCTTCCCCGGGTTCCTATGTTTGGATTCTTGGTTAAGCATAGCTCATTAATTTTTTTTTTCTAATCCCTCTCCTGCCTGAACAATAGTTTCATGTAAATGAGCCATGTTGTTGTTAGCCCAGCTCTTCTGAAGACCTTAATTCTCATTACATATTCTGGGCTGTACACAGCAGCTGGAGTCTGTGTTGTTCCTGCTGGTATTTCTCTCTGACTGGGAGGTTTCTAATTTGGTTCTTCTGATGTTATGTAATAGACTCTGTGCTAGGGCAAGAGTCCTTGGGATTGTTAGCAGAAGCAGTCCCCATGTCAGTTACCACTGCTAAATACTTTAGAAGGTGCTGAAGGTGAAGGGAAGTGGTTCCACTTGACAGATACAGAACTATGGAGAGCAAGTTGCAATGTTTCATCTCCAGGTGGCCTTTCCATTCTGCTTCACCTACATAGATACTACACAATAGCCTGTGAGCAGAATTTGGCCACTGTCCAGTTTCACAAGGTTTTATTGGAACAGAACTATGTTACTTCTTTAACATAATGTCTGTGGCTGCTTTTGCATAGTAACATAGCGAAGGCTATACATATATTCCCCAAGCTACCTTTTGAAACTTTATGCAGAGTATTTGAAAATTCTTGGTCTAATTGACGGGTCTAAGAGCAAAAGTTTGTTTTCCACAAAAAATGAAATGTAGTGCTGAGCGGCGGGCTACGTTCCCGCCCGGCTACTGCATGGCTAGCTTTATACCCGAAATAACAACACACAAATTGTATTCTTTTAAACACTGCTTGGCCCATTATTTCTAACCTCTTACTGGCTAACTCTCATATCTTGATTAACCCATTTCTAATAATCTGTGTAGCACCACGAGGTGGTGGCTTACTGGGAGAGATTCAGCTTGTCTGACCTGGTGGCTGGATCCATGGCATCTAACTTACTTCCCTTGTTCCCAGCATTCTGTTCTGTTTACTCCACCCACCTGTGTTCTGATTTATCAAGCCAAGCAGTTTCTTTATTAATTAACCAATGAAAGCAACAGATAGACAGATGACCCTCCTCCATCAATGGAACTGGGAATAATTTAAAGAATTTATACTACAGTCCTAATACTGTATTTTAAGACCATTGAATTTCAAACTTGAAAATAAGAACTACTTGGGACAGTGTTTAGACTTTTGTTTCATGACAAACATTTGAAGTGATTCTAGTGCTCGTAGTACCTACATCACACTTTCAAAAACGCTGGCTTTCTATCAGTTTTCTGACTATATTTTATAAAGCAGAATTATCTGTCCTTGGGGCTGGAGAGATGGCTCAGCAGTTAAGAGCACTGCCTGCTCTTCCACAGGTCCTGAGTTCAATTCCCAGCAACTACATGGTGACTTGCAACCATCTGTAATGAGATCTGGTGCCCTCTTCTGGCCTGCAGGCATACAGACAGACAGAATACTGAGAATACTGTACACATAATAAATAAATAAATCTTAAAAAAAAAAAAAGAATTATCTGTCCTTAGACCAAGAGCTTATCTGAGGAGATCATGCTCTATCAGCAAAGACTCAAATAAATTGTGCCTAACAGATATGGGAGTCTTTCTCTCAGGTGCCATTGTTGGAGTTAGGATAAATAGCATCTTTTGGCTAGTCAGCCATCTGTAAAGTAATGAACTTGAAATCAAGAACTGACAATTGAGAGTGATCATACATTATACATGACAGTCTGGGAAAATAGTTAGAGTACAATTACAAACTGTATATAGTCCTCTTAAAACTTTTTTCTCCTATTGTGTGAAGTTTTTAAATGATAAAGCTTGTATGGATGAATAGTTTTACACATGTACAGCCCTTGTGATTTGAAAGCACAGTACTGTGTAATATTAGAGGACCTACTGAACCACACGCCTGTGATTGGACTGTATATGTGTGTTTGCTGAAGGACATTAGGCAGCATTGAAAACAGTTCCTGTATATAATTTTTAGAAAGTAGAAATTTGATTATGGAAGTAAAATGTCCTGTTTTATAATTTTTAAATTTTATTTTAAAGGCTTGAACTCAAACTTGAATGTAAATATGGATATGAACAGTATTAAAGAACCACAGTCAAGACTAAGGAAGTGGACTACAGTGGACAGCATTTCTGTGAACACATCTTTGGATCAAAACTCCAGCAAACATGGTATCAATTATAGTCTTTGACTTCTCTTGGGGAAAAAAAAATGTGGGGTGGGTATGGAGGTAAGATTGCTTAGTGGTTGAGTGTTTGTCACCAGGTCGTACAACCCGAGTTCAGATCTAGAACCACATGATAGGAAGAGAGCCAACTCCGACCCACTTGTCCTCTGAACTTCACGTATACGCTACACACAGAAACACATACGTATAAAATAAAATAAACTAAATAAATAATAAACCCGGGTAACACGAAATTTTGACCTTTATCTCTTTTGTGTTTATGTATTCCAGCACAAAGTTAGTAGAGATAGAGACCTAGCACTTGGGAGGAAGATTTTGTCTTCATCAGAATGAAGTATAAGCAGAGGGGCACAGAGAAAGGAAAGAACAGGAAATATCCTGGAGCCACTATGGTTTTCCACCCACTCTTCATGTGTGCTGTCTGTCACAGAGCACTGAGTGCTTCCTTTTTCTTGCATCTTTACATAATAAACTGGGCAGTCTGGTGCTTACATCCCTAATGAGAAGCTTTACTCCATTTGCAAAACTAAGAAGTGACTATGCCAGTGTGGCTTGCTTACATTTCGTCCTCATGGTTTTCTTTGTAGGTGCTATTTCAAGTGGTTTTAGGCTGGAAGAATCTCCATTTGTTCCCTATGACTTTATGAATAGCAGTACTTCACCAGCCAGTCCTCCAGGTTCAATAGGAGATGGCTGGCCACGTGCCAAATCGCCTAACGGCTCTAGCAGTGTTAACTGGCCACCAGGTAAGATGCTCATAGTGCCTCTGTGTTGTCTGCTTTCACCAGTGGTTTGATCTGGTTTTATGATCAGAAGTGCAGCCCTGACACAGTGAAAGGGCAAACATTGTCTGCATGCTCTGGTTCCTCTGCTCCAAGTAGTGATCATGGCATGGTTCACTGACCTGTGTGGAAGTCTCAGAGAGTCCCCTAGTGGGTGGTTGCTCTCTGGCTCTGTCAGAGGATTCGCTTGACACTGAGGCTCACTGGAAGTGCATCTCTGGCCTGCCTAAGTTTCTGCAATGCTATAAAGATAGAAATTTAGAGAAATTATTTCATTTGTATAAATAAGCAAGTTTATATAGGGGTATATATAATCCTGTTACCAGCCTGGACTTTTAGGAGGCATTGTTACATAGGTTTTAGGAATGATTGGATATTTAGTTTGTATTTTAAAGCCATGCACTAAATTTGAATTTCCATTTGCAGAATTTCGCCCTGGTGAACCATGGAAAGGTTATCCAAACATTGACCCTGAAACTGACCCTTACGTCACTCCTGGCAGTGTCATAAACAGTCTTTCGATTAATACTGTGCGGGAAGTTGATCACCTCAGGGACAGGAACAGTGGTATGTAGGGCCTGAGTTGTGCAACAGCATGGGATAAGAACGTCTCCAGGTGGCTGGTGGGAACAGGATTCCCTCATTCCTCACATCCACGGGGACTGGGACATAGAAAAGCAATTAACTGTGGCCACTTTTAAGATGCTGAGGATTTGTGGCTTGAGTAAGTGAACACCAGGGACATGCAAACATTTACTTTCTGATAACGCTGTCAGCGACTGCCAGATGGACAGTTCACTTATAGTCAACAGTGTTGACATGCTTTCCTCGGGAGAAACAGCCTGGGCTCTTAAGGCTTCAAACACTGAAACTCATGTATTTTCTAAAGGGCTGTCCAGTGAAATTACCCTGTAACTATCGTGGGGCTGTTTTCCACCTTAGGCATATGTGAATATTTTGTCTGTTATTTTGCACTAGAAGAAAAATTAATGAAATGAGTTAGTGAAACACTAAAATAACTGAAAACTTGTAGTATAATTTACAAAGGAAATTCAAAAGTGTCAACTGTTTATACTAATATGAACTTATTAAGATAGCAAGTGTTTGCCACATCATAGTGCTAATTGAAGAGTCCTATCATCCTGAAATGGCAGAATCTACCCAATAGCTGTGTTAGAGTTAGAGCCAAGACAGCAGAAGATAGTGATGCACAAGGCCAGGCTAAAGGGAGTTAGAAGAGTTGTTTGCTTATAGAAACTGCTTCTTTGAGGGTAGAATGTTCTGAAAGTTGAAAGGAAAGATGAAATTTGATATAAAAGGAAGAACCACCACTAAAAGGTTAGAGCTGAGGGCCCATGTATCTAAATGATGTGTAGAATAGACTCTATGGGAGGCTAGTCAGGACTGTCTTAGTGACCAGGTGACAGTCAAGTCTAGAGCTAAACTAGAGGAAAAGACTACAGAGCCCAGATATGGAGAAGGCAGAAGCCCTGGATCTTGGGTAGTGTGTGACAGGGTACTTGGGTGGCCTGACTTGCCAGTAGAAAGTTGTCATTCAGAGTCTCAGGCTAGGAGCAGCAAGAACAGCCTCTTCAGTGCCCAGTGCTTGTCAAGGAGAGCCTGGGTCTCCTAGTCGTTGCTCTATTCTTGGGGAGCAAGAAGGAAATGCCTATTTTGAGCCAGGGCAGAAACAATCAGCAGGAAGGAAGCTGCTGTCTTGGTTCCCATCTTTAATCTTTAGTCTTGTTGGCGTCTATCTTGAGGCATGCTGTGACCCTGCAACTTCTCAAACACTATGCCCTGCTCTGGGAGCTAATTGGACTCTCTTCTGCAGGGTCATCCTCATCCTTGAACACCACGCTGCCTTCAACTAGTGCCTGGTCATCCATTCGTGCCTCCAACTACAATGTTCCCCTCAGCAGTACAGCACAAAGCACTTCAGGTGGGCCCTCTCAGGAACAGCCTGGTGGTTACTTTTCCTCTTGTCTTCTCAGGTAGTTGGGGAATGTTTGTGATCCTAGGGAGGTGTTGCAAGCATTTTTTCTCCCCTTTTAAACTTGAAGTTCAGCGGTCGTGTAAAACAGTTCACCTCTACCACACATCTAAGCCTCCTCAGCCCTGTGATAAAGTACAGTTTAATCCCGAGCATACTGAAAGCCATCTGCATTCGTTTATTTAATTCTCAATCCTTCGCAGACTGATAGCTGTACAAAATGCAGGAAACAGGAATTTGTAGGCACTGCCAGAATGAGTGTGCCCTGGAGAACTAGGCCCCTGCAGGGAGCTAGGTGGCTGTAGTCCTGGGTTTTCACTATGAATCTGCTGTTGCTCGGGTAAACTGTGATATGGCCAGACTTCCTTCAGCCACACTTGGAGGAGCCATGACCTAATGGCCATACACTTTGTAATAACTCAGGTCTGAATGCTCAACAGTTGTTGAAGGGTTTCTCCTCCCTCCTCTCCCCAGTCTTTCAGTGTTGTTTATGGCACTGTTATCTCTCAGCTCCGTTACTGCACACCCACAGCTTTAGCTCTGCTCTGAGCCAGCAAGAATAGGTCGCATCCTGGTTGTTTTTAAGCTAGAAAGGGCCTACATTTGCACCCTAGCTGAACAGATCATTTGCCTTTCTGAGGACACACTGAGAAAGAGCCTTGCAGCCAGTGAGCATTTCCCACACCACTTTCCTGAATCGGGTGACTGCTGTAGCTCTTCTCCCAGGAGTAGATGATGAGCTAAAACTGTTACCTGCTGACCTTGCATCTACTGAGTAGCCCGGTCGGCCTGGGAGGCTGCAGATGTGAACTCTCAGTCGTCTCTTGTGATCTCAGAGAGCAGCTCTATGCTTGCATAATCTCTAGGCAGCAGATGAAGGTCCTGAGGAAGGAATTGCTGTTTGGGGGCTGTTTTTCTCCTTTAGGTCTTTAGTTGCGTTTAGGGTTTTTTGATAGTTTCCGTTTGTTTGACACACTTTTCATGGGATAGTGATATTATTGTATAAATTCTCTCTTTTTCTAACATTATCCCACCTTCTTCAGTTTTGTTTTTTTTTTTTTTTAATTTTCTTTTTTCCTCCTTTCTCCTTTGAATAGCCAGAAATAGTGATTCCAAATTGACGTGGTCTCCTGGTTCAGTTACAAACACCTCTCTGGCTCATGAGCTGTGGAAAGTCCCTTTGCCACCTAAAAACATCACTGCTCCGTCCCGCCCACCTCCGGGGCTGACTGGTCAGAAGCCACCCTTGTCTACGTGGGATAATTCCCCCCTTCGTGTAGGTGGAGGATGGGGAAATTCTGATGCCAGATATACCCCAGGTAGGACACAGCTGCTATGGTGGTTGATGATGAGCTGATTTCTGTAAGCTGGGAGGCCGCACCCTGGGAAGGCGGGATGAGCTTGAATAGGCTTTGTAGTTCATTGCCATGTTTTGCAATTTTCTTGAGGAGTCTTGACTAGTTTCCTTCAGAATGTTTACCCAAACTTGTATGGTGATACATGCCTGAAATCTTAGCACAAGGGGAGTGAGGGCAGGAACATTAAGTATAAGGAGGTTGGTATCATTTGTTCATGAGACCCTGTCTAAATAAGAACGCTTACCCAATGTTGATGGTAATGCAATGGTCGATGGTAGCGAGAGTGGGGAAGTAGCCTTTTTTCAGAAGTTCTTTGGGAAGGCATCTTAAGCGTCTGATGGTTTCCTGCTCATGGCAGGCTTGCAGAGCAAGGCTGCTATATAGAACATGAATTGCAGAGGCTGTATGGAGGACAGCCCAACTGAGCCTTGGAGAGTGGGCTTGTTTGTGTAGTAGTTTGGCCTATCCCAAAAATGACCATGCAGTTTGCTGTTTAAGCAGACATTTGAGAATGGAAGGGGGTGCTATTGATCTTTAAACTCAAGCACACATAGGTCAGATTATTCCAGGAGAACTACAGTGACGTGATTGTGAAATACCTGTAGGTAGTCACAGGCAGTTCTTCTGCTAGAGTGAAAGTGATGGCCATGGGGCCGTGTAGGAAGGCTAGATGGGGTACCCACATGGTAACCCAGACAAAATCAAAGACCGAACAGATCAGTCCCCCTAAAGCTTCCCATCTTAGGGTACATGCAGGGACACTTCCCTGAGGCCTGCCTCTAGGAGCAAATTTGGTAGAAACGATGCCAGAGAGGTAGAAAAGCGTTGTGGCTTATCTGCTTCACAGAAAGAGCCACCTGCAGTAGTGATCAATGCCCGATCCAGACTAGAGTGAGCTGACATCCCACGCCTGTTTGTTACAATAAGGGGTAGGCAAAGGAGATGGGAGCCCTGATGACTGGAACTAACTGTCATTTGCTTGGGCTGTGTCTCTCCTAAATAGTCACAGTGGTAGAGTGCTGACTTCCTTTCTCTTTGTTAGGTTCCAGCTGGGGTGAGAGCAGCTCAGGGAGAATAACGAATTGGCTTGTTTTGAAAAACCTCACACCTCAGGTAAGGAGGCACCTATCTGATATATGCGGTGGACACGGGAGCATGGGAACACTCTGCTGTTCCAGAACAGGGCCTGTCAGTGGTCATCAAGGCTGGGCCGAGCATGATACTCAGTTGCCTTGGGTCTGATTCACTGGTTTTCATGCTGTTATGTTTAGACGAGCCACAAAAATGCAGGTGCCTCCATCTCACCCAATGCTGACTGGGTAGTGCTGGCCTGGTGGCCTGGGCTTTGCAGGCGTGTTTGTGGGATTGTGCTGCACCTCCAAAAACCTTGGCTTGCCCCTCTATATCTGAGCATTTTCTTAGCCCCTGGGCTACCCGCCCAGCCACTCCCCTATAGGGCCTTCGGGTCCTGTTCTGGAGCAGGAGCATGGTGGCTTGTCACATAGCTCTAGGCCCAGTGGACATAAGAAAGGGGTGCTGAACCTGGCATTAGAAGGACCGGGGCACCTCCTGAAGCTCTTTCAAAGAAGCTCCTAACCTCAGCCTGCTCTGTCTAGATTGATGGCTCAACTCTGCGCACCCTGTGCATGCAGCATGGTCCACTGATTACATTCCATCTGAACCTTCAACATGGAAATGCTCTGGTCCGTTACAGTTCAAAAGAAGAGGTAGTGAAGGCACAAAAGTCTCTGCACATGTAAGTTGCCTAGTCTCCTATTAGGGAAGGTCTGGGGGAACTGTGAGTAGAAACCCAGCCCAGGATCCCTGTATAGACCTGGTCAGTGTGGGCCTGGAGAGACTGAGGTGGAGGGATCACTTGAACCCAGGAGTTGGAGGCCAATGCAGGAAATACAACAAGACCCTAGATAAAAAAATGAAAATAAAATCTCAAGGAAGTGGAGAACTGCTTGTGTTGCCTGCAGTAGACAAATCATGGGGTCTAGACACCCCATGATTCTTTCTGGGATACACACTGTGGGTGTGGAGCAGGCCAGGTTCCTTCTGCTCCTTCTTGATTTTTTTCCCCTCAGAGCAAGTCCCACTGCTGGTTAAGCTTGTGAAGCCATGCAGTCAGAAGGTCTTCTCATCTTGTGCCCTCTCCTCTAGGTGTGTGCTGGGGAACACTACTATTCTCGCTGAGTTTGCCAGTGAAGAGGAGATCAGTCGCTTCTTTGCACAAAGTCAGTCTCTGACCCCTTCTCCTGGCTGGCAGTCTCTCGGGTCCAGCCAGAGCCGGCTGGGCTCCCTCGACTGTTCCCACTCATTCTCCAGCCGGACCGATCTCAATCACTGGAATGGTGCTGGGCTGTCGGGAACTAACTGTGGAGACCTTCACGGCACTTCCCTCTGGGGGACCCCACATTATTCCACAAGCCTGTGGGGTCCCCCAAGCAGCAGCGACCCCCGGGGAATTAGCAGCCCATCCCCCATTAATGCTTTTCTTTCTGTTGACCACCTGGGTGGGGGTGGAGAGTCCATGTAACCGCATAGGTGTAGACGCAAACTGTGACCTCAAGAAGAGAAGGAAAGGAGCACTAAGTTGGGCTCGCCGCCTGCAGCCAGGGCCACCTGTGGGAACAGCTATTTTCTGCACATTTTCCACTTTGTTTTCCCCAGAACATATCAGTTTGAATACTTGAATCATGCAGGCCAATATTATAATGTGAAAGGGTATCTATCTATTTACACTCCCAAATAGCGCCATACAGCTAACCGTGTGGAATTGAGCTCACTTGTGGATTCATCATGTTTAGCCTTCAGATTCCTTCTTTCCTTCATTTCCACCCCCACCCCAACCTTTTATTTTTATTTGTTTTGTTTTGGGTTTTTTTTTTTTTTGCAAACATTTTTGGGCTGATGTATGAGCTTTTACCTTTGCACTGAGTGATGTTCTCTCCGTCTAATCGGCAATGTGGGGGGGCAGCTGTTCCAGTGTAAATGTTTACTCAAGGATGTTCTTAAAGGCGAGCGCTCTCTACTCTGCCTCATGTTGCCTACCTTATTGTGGTATCGTGGAGTTTAGAAGATCAAGTTAAGATACTGACGTAGGATTCTTAAAGTATTGCACCAGTTTTTTCATGTCGTAAAACTAAAGAATTTTCGCTCTACAGTTTGAGAAACTGTGGCCACCGCTGTGACCTGCAGCCCGCCTGCTGCCCAGGACGGGCCCTGCACTTTGAACAGGCTTTCCATGTTGTTTTGAAGGTTCCCACGGTGAACCTTCTTGTTTACAGATTTTTTGTTTGTTTTTTGAGAAAAAAAAATGTTTACTCTTCCATCATTTAAAAAAAATTTAAAAGACAAAAAAAAAAAAGAGGAGGGTGGTTTAAAAGACGCTTTCTATCTCTGGGAAAAAGAGCAGCATTTGGCCATGTTCTTCTGTTTTCTATCCCTATCCTAAATCAAAGAGCATGGTTCTCAGGAAACCAGTTCCCCGTCAAAAAAATCTTGTAGTTTCTTATAGGAAAAAAGAAAACCCTGACTTTTAGCACTGATATTACGTATTGCTCTGTTCAAGAATTTTCTCTGCCAAAAAAAAAGAAAAAAAGAAAAAGAAAAAAAAACCGCTTCGAGCTGGAGTTGCCGTCTGCTTTCAGATGCTGTCCTTTATTAGTGAGTGATGATGGTTTGCTGATAATCGCTAGGTGACTTTTTGTAACCCCATCAGTGGCTCTCCTGTCCCTGCTCTCTTGTGACCGTGTTCATGTTTAACTGTTGTACCTTAAAGCCGAGATCAGTAACTATGCATACTGTAACCAAGACATTGGGCTTACAGAGTTGTTTGTTGTATAAAAAAAATTTTAAATGTTGTTGCAAACTAACGAGTTACAGACCATTTTAAAATTTCTTTCCTCCCCAGCTCCTGTTTTTTTGCCCACAAATGGTATTATAATGCTTGCTTAGTCAAAGAAGAGAGACTAAACAAGGGTAAACTTTTAACAGTACAGAATATGCCATCATTTCATTGCCTTGATTCTAACTGTTTGTGTCCTAAGATGCAAAAGAGGTCAGTGGCTTTTAACTGTTTACAAATAGGATGTGATTGTAGATGTACAGTTTGGTTGTGTTGAATTATGAGATCTTCAGATAATAAACCATGACTTTTTTGGCTGCTCAACATTAATTGTCTCTTTTTTGTGAATTTATTTGTAGGCTTTTTATAATGAAAGTTACAAAGTCGCTGCACATGAGGCTCTTCTCATAGAGCAGCAGATTAAAAATCTAAGCAAATATTTGAACATTTTACCTGAACTTCTCCACAATCACCCTGAGATAATGTGAGAACAGTGGAAGCTGTAGCTTGCTCCCTCCTCCCCCGAGCATCTTTGGGATCTTGTTGCTCTTCTGTGGCTTCACCTTCCCCACCATCTGTGCCCATCTCAAGCCTCAGCGGGACCATTCGGAACATGAAGCTTAGTGACTTGACAACATCCTAGTGTTAACCTCTCATACCTCTCACACAGTGGGGATGCCTCCGTCGTGCCCCTTGCTCCCTGCTGCAGGAGCCCAGGGCAGAACTGTTTCTGTATCCCAGTGTATGAATTCAAATCCCGCTCCAGCTTGCCAGCTGTACGCTATTGTCGGACACCGTAGCCTAAGCAGATGTTCAGTGATTCATTCGGTGTGTATTGACTTCCATGCTGGTTTTTCCAAAACCAAAGGTAGCTTTGAAAAACCATGTGTGGAGATGTTCAGAACATTAAGCCGAGTGACCTTTTGGGGCTTTGAGTAGTATATAACTGACTTCATAACTTCGTTAATTGTATTGTTAAAAGTGTTTGGGAGTTTTTTGCGCTTGTTATGTGGAAATAAAGTGTTTGGTTTTAAAAAAAAATTCAGTGGTTTTGATATTTACCTCATTTTTTTTTTTTTACCTCATTCTTAATAGCTTCTCTATTCTCTTGTCATTCTTGAGTCATTCCGAATCCCTCCCCGTTACCAGTACCTCATTCTTGGCCATCGCTTCCCACTGTCCCGGCTGCCAGACCTCAAGTTCCCTGTGGCCTTTGGGAGTCAGCTTGGTGGAATGTGCTCCCATCCATCCAGCTGTGCTCTTAGTTCTGCCTGCCCTGAGCCGCCCTGCAGGCTGTATCCCAACGTGGCAGCCCTTCCTCAGACAAGGCTGTTTTCCCTGATTGTTGGCCCCCAGCAAAGCAGTCCCCTCCCACCTCTGCTTGCTACAGAACCAAAATTCATTGCTGATCATTGTGCAGATACAAGATCAGACCCCCAAGCATCCACTGAGCTCGCCTGTAACCTTCCCTGTCATATATCATAGTGCTTGTTGACATTGGAAGGCAGCAATCGGGATGAGACCTTGGCAGGTCAGAGCACCTGTAAGCCTGGGGTCTGAAGATGGGGCTGTGCCTCTGAAGATGGGGCTGTGCCTCTGAAGATGGGGCTGTGCCTCTGAAGATGGGGCTGTGCCTCTGATGACCGAGCAAGACTGGTGGCATTCAGCTGCCCACCCTCTACAAAGTTCCCCTCTGTTCTTGCTGATTGCTAGGTTAGTGACGCTACAAGGGTGTTTCTTAGAGCTAGAATCCTCCAAACAAACCTGAGAGACCCTGACCCCCACATGACTAGGGTTTGGGCCCCAGTGGGACCCTGGGTAGCCTTTAGAAAGTTCAGCGGGAGGGAGAGTCGCTGTGTGTGTAAGACACTGTATACACATGCCCTTGCTCAGCCTTGCTCTTGCTCAGCCTTGAAGCATCTCTGGAGAGCCGTGCTTCTCAGAATGTACCACTTGCCAGCTCCCCCGACTTCTTAAGCTTTTATTTACTTACTGTGTGCGTGTGGTGCACACACCCAGGTTTTCACACATGCCAGAGGAAGTCGTTGGATGTGTTCCTCCATCACTCCGCACCTCATCCTCTTGGGCACATCTCTCCTTCATGGGCACTAGGCAACCGGCCTCAAGTCCTTGTGGGCTCACAGAATGCACTTTCCCCACCCCAGCCTCAGTTAAGCTTTAATTTTAGGTCCAGCTGCATACAGATGTTGCATTCTGCTGCTGTTTTCATCTGAAAAATGCTGCTGTAAGTAGGTAGTTGCCTTGCTGTCTTTCAGAAAGCCCCCCTAGGACACTGGACAAGGGTGCTGCCTCACTTTTTTTAAAGTTGACTGTAGCCAGGTGTGGTGGTGCACACCTTTGACCCCATTTGGGAGGCAGAGACGGGTAGATTTCTATGAGTGAGAATAGCCAGGACTACATAGAGAAACCCTCTCAAAGGAAAAAAAAATGAAAAAAACCTGACAGGTAAAGTTGCTGAGCCACTGACTGTCGCCTTGAGCTTGCAGCCCTGCCCAAGCCTAGGATGCCTTGTTCTGGCTAGTGGAGCTGATCCGCAGATAGGAAAGCCGTGTTTAGGGGCACTGAAGGAGAACTTGACTTACAGCCCTATCCACATGGCCCTGGATGGAACAGTCTGTAGCCAGGCATGCAGTGTGGGGGCCTCTGGGTTGCTTCCCCGAGTCATCCAGGTTTTTGGTTTGCTTTGGATTTTTTTTTTTTGTTTTTTTCGAGACAGGGTTTCTCTGTGGTTTTGGAGCCTGTCCTGGAACTAGCTCTTGTAGACCAGGCTGGTCTCGAGCTCACAGAGATCCGCCTGCCTCTGCCTCCTGAGTGCTGGGATTAAAGGCGTGCGCCACCACTGCCCGGCTGCTTTGGATTTTTTTAAACGTACTACTTTATGTATGGGTGTTTTGCCTGTTTGTGTATTTTATTTGTGCATCATGTGCACACATGTCTGGTGCTTGTGGACACTCCCTGGAACTGGAGTTAAACATGGTGTGAGATACTGTGTGGATGCTGGGGATTGAACCCAAGTCCTCTGCAGGAACAGCCAGTGCTCTTAACTGTTGAGCCATGGCTCCAATCCCAGTTGCCTAGATTTTAATGAGTTTGATTGTTTAAAAAAAAACAAAAACAAAAACAAAAAAACGATGTCTTTGCAAAGGAAAGCTGGTGATACCTGACATAGAAGATCCAGAAAAAAAAAAACAAAAAAAACCCTACACTACCACCTTTTAAGGGTTGGCCTCCAAGCAGGTACCTAGATGGCATGCCACAGCAGCCACACCTGGCCAAAGAGCACCTGAGAGCAAGACCGGCCAGGAGGGCCACCAGGGAACAGATAAAGGAAGCTGGCTGGGGAGGGACTGAGCCAGGACTCTTGGACAGGAGCCATGCTTCTCAGTCCTGCCTGCCTGTGAGGAGTGCCCGTGTGCTGGTCCCATGCCTCATTTCACAGGGCACAAGGTTTCAAAGCTTTCTTAGTTTTACAAGCCATCACGTAGGTTCTAGCATTTTGTCTGCCGATTCCTGCAAGGTGTATCCCCAGGCCCAGCCTTATTTCCCACATTACTGGCCTGCCACCAGCAGCCCAGTTGTTGGTTCTGTGCCAGATCCCAGAGGTAATAGAATGCTTGTGTCCTGAGTTGATACTGCAGCATAAACAACGTAAACAACGTCACCATGGGAACGTCTGGATGAGGTCAGCAGACCAGCTGGGTGGGTGGCAACGTCTAGTTGTGACGTTAGACAGTGACAGATGTAACCTAGAGTCATTGAGATTCTTTATTCCAGTTGCATGTGGATCAACAAATATAAATAAAAATTTCAATTAAAAAATGTGAACTAGGGGCTGAGGAGATGGCTTAGTGGGTCTGCTGCTTGCTGTGTGAGTTCAGGTCCCAGTACACACCTAAAAGGTGGGGTGGGGCAGTGTACTCCGGTAATCCCAGCACTGAACGGCAGAGGCAAGCAATCCTAGGGACTTGCCCAGTAAGCCAGTCCAGCAGACTTAGTGAGCTCAAGGCTCAGTGAGAGACTCCGTCTCAAGAAATAAGGAGAAGGAGGCTGACAAATGGCTCATTAAATTTAAAAAGAAAAAAAGTCCTTGCTGTAAAAACTGATGACCTCATTGTTCATTGTTCAGTTTCTGGAGATCACATAAAGGTGTAAGGGGGCAACTGAGGCCACAAAGTAGTCTTCTGACCTTCACAAGAGTGCCACCACCTCATCTACACAAACAATAATAAAGAAAAGAAAGAAGCTAGGTAGTGACAAAGGGAGACGCCAAAAATTGACCTCTGAACTTCACAGCCACATGCACACCTATACACACATATTCATACACCACACACCCATACTCACTCCACAACATGCACACACCACCCACACTCATACACCACACACTCATAGTACGCCACACACTCATAGTACGCCACACACTCATAGTACACAACACACTCAGAGTATGCCACACACTCATGTAGAAGGAGCTGCGAGCTATGTTCCTGCCACCTGGCTCCCGGTTGCCTGGCTAGCTTATGCCCCGAAATAATTTTACGGAAACTGTATTCTTTTAAACACTGCCTGGCCCATTATATCTGGCCTCTTCTTGGCTAACTCTCATATCTTAACTAACCCATTTCTAATAATCTGTATAGCACCACAAGGTGGTGTCTTAATGGGAAAGATTCTAGTGTATGTCCTTCTTAGGCTGGAGCTTCATCGTGTCTGACCCAGAGAGGAGCGGTGTGGCGTCT